AATTGAAATGCAGAAGATTTAAATTTTTAATTTCATTTATTAAATTTAAATCTTTTGCGGCACGAACTTTCCGGATGACCCGATATATATGTATATATACCTATATCTTTTTTATTTATGAAATTTAATATAGAGAAAAGATAAATAAAAAAAGAGAGAGTACCAAAATCTCAAAATATCTCGAAAAATTTTTACATGAATTATTTAAATATTAAAAATCTAGCTTTGACCGTTATGACTATTATTTCTATTTCTTATTGATAAATTTTAAAGAAGAATTGATTGTTTCAGGTAAAAGTAAGGTTTAAAAAGATCTATTTATTGATCCTATCAATAAATAGATATATTCGCTGCTTAAATGGCGTTGTCAAGATCAGGAAAAAATTAGTTTGAATTTTTTAAATGAAATCTTCTATTTCTTATTGCATATTCTTTTTTATAGCCCTTCTTCAAATCTTTTTAAACTATAATAAGGATTATTTAGACATCTAAACGAGATTTTTCTAGACGTATTTCAGACATCCAAGGACATCAAATTGTTTCTTGGAATCATCTTTCGATTTTGCTTTGTAAGCTGGATTATCTTCCGATCTTATTTTCATAATTTTACAATAAAAAAACTCGATAACTTCAAAAATGTTTATTTAAAATAAAGATAAAATTATGGTGCTCTGAAAAGGTTTGAAGAAGGGTTATAAAAATGTGCAATAAAAAAAAGGAGTATCATTAAAAAAATTCAAGATAACTTTGTTCTTACTTTGACGATAACACGTCAAATTAACAGAATCATTAAATCAATCATTTTAAACTCTAACTTTTATCTGAAGTTTTCTATAAAACTTATATTTTTTCGAAATATTTCGAAGTCCTGGTATTTTTTCTCAACCTGAATATACAAATACTATATACTATATATACTATATATACTATATACTATATATACTATATACTATATACATATACATATATTGTATACATATTTTTTGTTTTTCTGTATGAAAATTATATGTAAATACGTGTAAATTATATCTAAATACGTGTAAATTATACTATTACATCAATCTTACTATTATTATCATATTTATTATATTATAAATTAGGATTGCAATATTCCATATGCAAATTTACCAGTGTAAGGATTATTCCGATAATCCCAACTGGTGGCCTCACTCTTCTTCTTCCTCTTGGCATCGCGCTTCTGTCGAACCTTGGATTCCCTTATGCCTGAACTCTTAAAATAGCCCACTATGAAGGGTTGCTTGTCTGGATCACCCCGGAATCCCATAATTCCAATATCCTCTGGTCTCACTTCATGCGCTATAATATATCAATTGAAGAAATAAATGAATGAAATCACTAACTGATTCTCAGTTAATAGCCATAGCTAGTAACTTATTTTTCTTTAGGAATATTTTTCTTGAAAGTATATAGTATAGAGATATGATTAAATAATATAGAAGAATAAAATAATGATGATATACGAAACGAACATATATCAAATAGAAGAAGAGAAACAATAGAGAATAGAAAGAGAAGAATATGTTGAAAGTCGTTACAAACATCGATGCACTCTTGATGCATTAGAGGCGTTCTGCAAAAGTCATGTTTTGCGAAAACAGAAGACTCTTGCTCACATATTTCGAATCTTTATTCCGTAAGTATCAGGTATATGTGTTTATTAGAATGGCCTGCGCGCACGCGGATCTCAGGATTATTAATAGTCAACCTTCATGAATATTGAACGCTCAAGAATCTCGGTGTAAAGTCGAGCCAAGCTAGACATTCACTTCCAACGCGTTTAGACGTTTTAATTACTCTGGAAAATTCCAGGGTAGCGATCATGTAACTTTTTCCTTAGGACAAAAATGTGAAAAGTGAAAAGTCTTCGTACGTATGTATATGTACGAACATAGATAAAAATTTACACTTTTCACGTTTCCGCTCTAGTGAAAAAGTTAAATGATCGTTACCCAGGTCTGCGTGAAGTTCGGATGTACTCACGAAATTCGTATTCGGTTTAAGCGCATCTATTCAATTTCACAATCGAAATCTGGAAACTCTTTTTCATTATAATTAATTTCGCTAATAACCCGATCGTGCATGTTAGAAAGTTATCGCGCCCGGTTCCACCATACGGTCCCGTTCGCAAGCTTATTTCCTCTCGATAAATAAAATCTTGAAAGAGGGAGATAAGCCTCGTGATAAATTTCACCGATCGGGATCTAGCCATCGCGGTCAGATCGGGAATGCGAGTCGACGACTAGGAGAGAGACCTCGTCGCGACGAGCGATCGTATGTAAATGATCCCAAGCAGCGAGCACTCGCGCCCGGCAGGATATCACAGGCCCCACATGATACCGTGTATTTCGAGTGTGCGCGAGTCCGAGAAAGCTAGTAAATTGACCGGCAGGAATGTGCATTTGCCGTGATTGCAGCGGACACTGGCAGACACCTACCGCCGCAGTTGTTGCACTTTGCGCCGCTCTCGAGGAATGCGCCGGCTCGCGGCGAGAATAGTGCTCGCATGCTGTGCGTGCCTCTTCGAGGCGACGTATTCAAGTTCTGTGTCAAGTCATTTTATCATCCTTCTCATTCGTTCTAACATCGACAACACGTTTCCTTCAAGCGGTTGTTACCGGTGCGATAATCTATTATTAATGTATTAACCCTCTATAACATCATATTATTTTGTAATCGCATATTCGTATATTTATATTTTTTTAATTTAATCTTTTTTTTTTTTTTCACCATAATTGAGCATAGTATGAATAATAATAATAAGAATCTTATTTTATACAACCAATACGAATTAGAAATTAAAATGCCTATACCGATCGAAGGTGAATCTTCATTACTTTAAATAATTAAATCTTGAATTACTATATACAGTACTTACATATATATCATATTATAGTCTTTTTAGAACTGCGCGCCGAATTATTTTTCGGGATTATAAACGCAATTAAAACTCGAGTAATCGCGAATTAAATTGACAAGTAATTTAATAATTTGATGCTATCAAGCATAAAGATGTTGAAACTGTTAATAAATTTATTGCAAAAAATATTACTTCGGCCGGGGAACCCGGGTCTCTTGTATTCTGTACGAGCGTTCTAAGCTATTAGACCAAGACAAAAATTAATTGTTAATTTAGATCTCAAAGTCAATATGTTCTATATATATATATATATATAGTAACATGTTATGTTACTTTTTTAAATACGAAATCTTCGTACAAACGCAGTCGCATAATGAAATATAATTGCGGTTTTCAAAAGCGAGTACGCAATTGCCGCCTATCTGTTTGCAGCTGTAAATGAAAAGTGATTACATTCGCTGAATGTCGGTCGTCTGAATCATACGCGGATGATTTTCTTTCGTTCTTCATCTGAAATTAGTAATTTTGAGCATAAGAGGAAAATAAAAAGAAAAATGATAGAAAAATTGGAACTCGATTTCATTCTTTGTTGCAATTAATTGTCATGGACATTGAGAGGATTACATCAGATTAATAAAATTTTGCATTTAGCTCTGCACGTTCTTTGTATACAAACTGAGTCGAATTAGAAACGAAACTCAAGTTTTATTTACAATAATATTTAAAAATTGGTAAGAACCACTTTCAATTATTACTACCAATATACTGTCACAAATTTGACCTATAATAAATCTTCGAATTCATAATTTTGCCGTAATAGTCGATATTGCTGATATCGCATCATCTATTGAGGTGTATTTCTCTTTGTACTTATATTTTGATATAAAATAGATATTTCATATCATTTGTATACTTCAATAAAAAATTCCTGTCGTAGTGACTTGATTATTTAATCGTAAGCTCGAGAATACGAATTTAATAGCTGAAGAATATGTAATAATCCTTAATTTATATTTAGGATCAGCTTATATTTAGATACAGATAATATATCTTTGAAGAATCTCATAGGTTTTTTAAATGCGGCGAGAGAAAATTAAAAAACAAAGAGAGAGAGAGAGAGAGAGAGACAGTCAGGAATCAAATGTAAAGATTCGTGAGAGGCATGTGACTCTTCGATCTTGTGTTTCATATTGAACGATCAAAGATAAACCGGTTGCGCGTTCTGAAGAGTAAGACAAGAAGAAAGAGGACAGAAACCAGGTAAAAAAGAAAGAGCAAATAATGAAATAATCTAGGCGCGGCAAACAACAAATCATACACACACATACATACACACTACATGTACAGATATACATATATTTAAATACACACATGTTGCTTGATTTGATGTTTATATTACACATTAATGTCCAGTGTTATCCATCACTACTTATCACAATTTTTATATAGAATGTAATAATATTACAGATTATGTTTTGTGTGTGTGTGTGTGTGTGTGTGTGTGTGCGCGCGCGCGCGCGCGCGCGCGTGTGTATCTTAACTACCAACCGTCCCAAATTAGGAGGAACAGTCCCAAATTTTAACTCTTTGTCCTACTTTACAATGCGTAAATTTTATCTATCATGTGTATCTAAGCGTGCATCTATAAGGATGTAAAATCAAGTATAACTCAAAGAGTGCTTAATGAAAAAGTAATTTATTATAGTGTTTTGGAAAGCTCTTGAAATAAACTACAAGAATATGCAATAAAAATATGAGAGTTTCCATTTTAAAAATTCAAAATGATCTTGCCTTAACTTAGAAATTGCCACGCCAAGTCAAACTGATAAGTTAATAAATTTTTTTAAACTCTACAACTTTTGCATGAAACATTTTTTTCAAAAGTGTTTAATTTAAAAATACTTCATAATAATAAATGATGTGCAGCTTTTTATTACGAAATCTTGAACATTTCCATTCTCTTTGGAGTCATCCTTAGCAAGTTATACATATTCAACGATCAATGTTGGTTAGACAATTTGTCCATGATGAATCATTATCAAGTTCCCAAAACTGCAGCGGAATCTCGAACAGACGTCAACCATGTCATGAAGCTTCGGCAAATATAAATTCGCTACCTAATAAATTAATCGTGCTACGAGTACATAATTAATTACTAGTAGACAATTCAGAATCTCGAATGATTCATATAAATTGAGTTTTTTTAAGATCATGTCCATTGAAATTTTTGATGAGCATCATAAAGCAATCACATATCAAAAATTTAGCTAATTTAACACAGAAGCCGGTTGTTTCATTATAAGTATGCGAGATTCTTTAATGATAAATCAATTTTTCCTTTTTTTGTTTCTCTTTCTCTTTTTTTCTTTTTCCTCTCTTTTTTTTCCTTTTTCTCTCCCTTTTTTTTTGTCCTGTTCACTGCTATTCTTTTGAAAATAACATGAGCACCTCTCGCGTTCGTAAGTATATCTTATCAGCATGGGAAGACAAGGCGATGCCTTCATCATAGATTAAGTATATCCCGAATGGTAAATAAATAATAAATAAAGTATGCGAGTAAATAATGAGCAAGATAAAAAAAACCAAAAAAACGTTTAACTTCTTAAAAGTAATATAATACTAATTGCATTTTTTCTAGCATAATTATATTAAATTATAAAAAAGGAATAAAGAAGGACATCAAAAGTTGGATTATAAAGCGCGACAAAGCTACATGAGAATAAAATTTCCAAGAAAACTTTATGTCGCCTGTTATTTTGAAATTATATTTCGACATTTCATTTATATGTAAATTTGTAACATTGATTTCAATATATAATTAAAGTCTTTAATTAGTTATTTGAATTAATAACAAATTTCATTTCATGATATCAAGAAAAGAGATTCTTAATATCTTGATTTCTCTGATCTTCGATTTTATAAAAAATATATCGATTTTATAAAATTTTCTGTCAATTTAAATTACGATAAGACGCAAGAGTAGTTGAATAAGTGTTGTCTCTCTTCTTGAATTATAAATACAGAAAAAACTAGGAAGAGAATCGAGATTCAAGAGTTGTTAACTTGCTACTAATCTTTCGTGTCACGCACATGCAGTTTTACAACAGTATATTGTGATGAGAACACTGAACAGGTAGATGTAATATACATTGAGGAAACACATATATACATGACCATCAGATATATGAGAACCAAGAACACACTCTTCATTTAATCCAAATAAAATACTTATCTATTAAAAATATTATATAAGATTCTTGAAAGTCAAACTGAATTGAAAGCTAAATCGACTTAAATAAAAAATAGAAAAGTGTCAAAATTATAAACAAATCATATGTTCAGATATTAAAATTAAGAAATTTATAAAAATAAAGTTGATCAATTTGGCTTCTGATAAATTTGTATACAATTGATAGCAGTTGTTATTTTTCAATTACTTATTGCTTCTTTTGTCGCTTGAGAAGATATAAAAGACGCATTTCCGAATCAAAAGTTAAAGTTTGAATTCTCTGTTACATTTTGCTTGCGATCCGATTTCAATAAACATCGGACATGTTTATTATCAAACCGGAAGTTCTATATTTAGCGTGCTATTTCTAAGAAGCTGGCTCAGAAGTTTAGATAGAAACACGTTTAATAGGCTTAATACGTTTCATAAACTTGTGATTTAATCCATAAGTGTTTCTGAATTCTTGCTTTAAAATTAGAAAAAGATGAAGAGTTGAACCGAGATTAAAGTTAATCTACAAATTGGAAAAAGGACATAAATGGAAAGCACTCTCAGTATGTAGTGACGTGTCAATGTCACGTAAATCATGTGTGAATGTAAGTGGTATTGACTCGGTAAAACAGATGACTTTAGTTCAGAAGATTCTCTTAATGGTCCCTTTAACTTAATCTTTATTCAGTTAGTTCAAATATCGAATGAAAAATCTTTGTAGAGACAAAAATAATGGAAGAAAATTAGAAGAAATAGAAATGCTTACCTGAACGATCAGCAGGATGCACAGAGAGATACAGTCCTCGATTTTCGTTTGAGTCCTTCACCCAATGTTCAAAAGCCTCGCTGATGTTCAATGTCAGCCAGCCCTCTTTGTCCGTAATATTTATGGCATCGACGTACTGTAATTCTCGAATTCTGAAATTGAAACGAAAGAGCTGTGTTTCTACGATTCCAGTTTTTGCAACAAACAGTCTAGGAATGAATATACAAACTTATAAGCGTCACTTTTTTAATTAGTATCAAATTTTTTAATCGATAATCTGCCTAAATTCACGCAAAATATCGCGAAATAAAAACTTTAAAAATTGTGATTTTTTTTACTATTTCTGAGTGCAAAAGGGTTACATCACACGAGAGTAAAAATAATTCAATTCTGTAAGATTACGTATCTGCAAATATTATTCATATACGCACATGAAAATTCTTAAAATTAAAAATACGTTTTTATGAAATCCTAAAACGTATTTTAAAGTTTCGATCTTACAATTTGTTTGAGAGGAGCAGATTTTAATCTCAATTGTATTACATAAAATTGTCACATACATTGTTTACTGTACAATAATAGATATTCTTGTTTATTAAAAATTGATAGATACTCCGTGCACATAAACACGATGAAAATAATATATGCTTAGTAACTCCGATCGTCACGCATGACATGTCGCAAATGCTTTGTCGTGATTCTTCGTATTGTAATTTCTAATTAATCGTGAAACAGCGCGTGCCGCGCATCAATAAGAGCCTCAGGCAAGAAAACACGTCGATCATTGTTCAATGAGCAAATGATCTTCGCAACATTTACCTCTTACCATTTTTCTGCAAATCCATTATCGTAATTCAACAGGCTATGAAATTCTCGTGTTTCTTCGGAATCGAGTCTCAATCCTTTATTCAATAAAACCAATAAATCGACTGATAAAATTAATTAATTTACTAATTTAACGGATCCAGATTTTGATTATAAATATCTAAATAATTTATTTCCTTGAGCAAAATATATGTATAAAGTTTTCATTAATAAAAACACTAGATGATGGAAAATATTATTCATGAAAATATTACTAATGAAAATATTATTCATTTGAATTAACATATCAATAAAATTCTATTGTTATTGATGATTTTTGTTTAAAATTTCGATATATAAATAATTGTTAAACTAAATGTTTGTAAAAACAAAAATTGTATAACAAAGTGGAAGGATTCAGAAATAAATCATAACAGGGCTCCAGAAACTTTTAAAATTTTCAGATCTTTGCTTTAATTTTTTACTTATAAACGACTTGTCATTTTAATCCTACCATTTCAATTTTAAATGTGATTCTTCTTCAAAAACACGTATCATCAGCATTCCGTATTAATATTCCTAACAATGTACCATGATGAAGAGGTTTTATTACGAAAGCAACGAGTCGCCAGCTTGTCTCGCAAGGAAGAAGAAGCAGGGGAAGAAAAAGAAGGAGATGGAGAATGCGTTACGCATAGTTTGACTTTGATGGAAGGAACCGAAAGAGTGCTAGCGTGAAGAGTGAGAAGAAGAGAGACGCAAAGATCGAGCGCAACTGCGTAGGCAGAAGAGACGAAGAAACACGCGAAGAGAGCCTGTTAGCCCGTCTCCACGGCTAATTTACCTCAATTTACGGAATAGCGTTTCCTGTCGGGGCCTGTATATCGGTCAGGCTCAGGTCGCCAGTGCCAAAAGTTTCGGGGAAGGGGGGAAAAAACGTAAGAGCGTGTAGCCAGCTGTCACTCCTCAATCCGGTAGTAAATCAAAAGGCTAAGGAGCCTGTACTAAGTAGCCGAACTTGCGAAACGAAAGATCTAAACTTTGGACAACTGGACCTTCGTATCTGATGTGTTAGAAGTTTAGTACGGGTCTAAAGAATCTTGATGAAACTGATTACGCTAAGCTTCTTCAGAAGCGAGCATCTTACGTTTATTTCTTCGAAATTTTACGATAAATTTGTAAGCGAAATTTATCGTAAAATCATTTTTGTCCAATTCTTTCCAAAAAAATCGCTGATTGCAATTTAAGAAATTTTCGATCGTAAACTCGTTATTTCATAGATATATCAAACTTGGAAGACAATTAGGGATTCGCGATTTTGGTATCGGGAATTCTAGATAGTAAGTAGATGATGATCTGTGAAAACGGGAAATTCTTTTCAAAATTGACAGAATGGGCGCTTAAAAGTGTACTTAAAAGCACAGTTACGACGGCTATTAGTGGCGACGGGGCGTCTCGTGACTCACAATTTGTAGGACGGAGCGGCATGTCCATTAGATAGAGCGTCTCTAGACAGACCGTCGACATTTATCGCAGGCGTGGAGGTTTGTCCTCTCAGATTAACTCACCACGCTTTCCTTTTTACGATTCAGTTCCCACCCGGACGGGATAGCTCCCGCCGGTGGTCCTATGGCTAATGATTACATGTGTATCATAATATATTTCTAATTATCCACTCTGCACATCCGTGCACAATTGTTTTCTAAGCTGCCAAAGCAGAATAAATACATTTTTCTAAAAAAAAAAAGAGCTAACTGTATTATGATCTTATCCTCTAAATACATATAGATGTAATAATATAGATATGAGAAATAAAGAAAACGAAGAAGTCGAAGGTATGAAAAAGAATGTTCGGCGGAATATTCAAAGTTTTTTTCTCTGCATTTCAGGTAGAACAAATGCCTGAGACTTTTTCGGCGAAGGATTAAGGACCTCCTAATTAGGGATACGATGACGATGTCAAAAACTGCGAAGGATGCCTGGAGGAACATGAAATTGGTCTAACCTAGGCGTCCTTGGCACAAAAGCCGGTGAATAGCGAGTATTATTTTTCATTTCGACTTTATTATTGCAACACGAAGATGTGCTTTAACATTCACTAAGCTTCCCGAAATTCCAGTCTAATCTCTAGATTTTTATCTGATAATTTTTTAGTTCTCCTAAATCCATCTACTTTACATGATACGCGTCTAGAAATATAGAAATATAGAATTTGACGCGTTTAGAAACATAGAAAAAAAAATGGATAATTTTTCTTACCCTTCTTTAGTGTTCAATACTCGATAAGCCGTGATTGTGTGAGAACCATGACTCTTCTGAATCTTCGTGTGTGCACTATGATACAACCTAAGTTCAGCGCCAATTATGTATTCTTCAGGTGGTACTTCGGACACATCGAACCAGAGCCTCTTCCCACGTTCGTGTCTCACCCCAGGGACGTGATGATCTATTTTAAATTACAAGTCTGCGATCAGTCAGGCATTATTCAGAATGGCCGCTTATAATCACGCAACAACAATCATACACAGCATGGTCCATAAATTTGGATATAAAAATATCATATAAAATAAAGGATTCAAAAAAATATTTTTTTGTATTCAAAGTGAAATTCTTTTCAATAAATGCATCATTCTGTTCTCGTTTCAATTTTTTCATTTGATACATTAAATAGTCCTCTTTTGTAATTCTTCAATCTTCAATTGGTCAGTCACAGGGTAACTTGAATTTTTGAAATGTCGAATTAAAAAATTGTTATAATTTACATCACTCATTATCCTATTTATCTAACATTTTCTAATATTTCTTGTTTTCGAAATTGAAAAAATTTGATATTTTAGAAATTACATCGATATAACAACTGTGATCAATCACATGAAAAAGAATACTCAATTTGCAAAGATTGAAAACAAGAGCAAAGTAATGTATATTGATTGTAAAAGATTTTATTTTAAATAAAAAATATTGAAAATATTTTTCTAACATCTTTTGTTTTTTATATAATTTTTATTTTAAAATTTATGAATCACGTTGTGTGTATTTTATGTATATTCACGTTCAATTTTAAGAATATTATTTATCAAACGAAGATAGGAGATAAATTTTGAAAATTATTGAACTGTGCACCGAAATATATATAATATGTTCTTAGATAACTAGAAAAAAAATAATGCTCTGAAAATAATTCGATTATAATAGTGTAAAATTTTAAGAAGAAAATATAGTTTCCACGTTTAAAAATTCTTGATATATATCTTGAGAAATTTTTTCTTCATCTTACTGGAAAACATTTCTACCGAATAATCTTTAGAAACAAGTAAAGGGTCAGCTTAGGTTATCGATGCAAACTTTGAAACTGATGACTCAGAGCTCAGTCAAACCACAGGAACGTCTACGATGGAATGCCAATTAGTCCTTTTTTTCAATGGGGAGATAACATTTCGTTATCGCAAAACGAAATTTCTAAGAGAATCCAAGTTGAGGTATCTTTGGTGAGCCTACTTGTGAGTCTCTCAAGGAGGTCTTTAGAAATGATCCGTGGACAATTCGCAGCGTGAAATCGGGCTCTTTCTTACCGTCAAAGTGATTGCCGCTCTGCGAGCAAAGAAAGAGAGGTAGACTCGGGGGGGGGGGGGGACATATCCTTCCTTCGCGGTAGACTCGGGGGGGCTCTAAGTAATGCCTAATGCCTCCGCTGAAGTGGGCGGCTTGAATCCGAACAGGGACGTGAAGCGAGGAGAGAAACGAAGGGGGACATAAAAATTTGTTTTGTTTTTTCGTTCCGACGGTCGCATTCCAACGGTACCAGATTGCCGGGCCTCCTCAGCTCTCGGGGTGGTCCCAAATAGCTTTTGGGACCGTCCATGGAGCGTTCTGTGGCGAGCCGCGTTTTTGTTTTTTACGCCGCCGTTGCCACTACCGCCGCGCTCTTCCTTCCCATCGCCTCCCCCTTCGCGTCTTTCTTAAAGGCATATGTATGTGCTTGTCAGTACACGTACGGTACGGTGAAAAAAAAGAATAAGTTTACGTGTTTTTCTTAATTCTTGAGACACAGCGAACGATATTGTGGTTATATTTTCTTAAATAGATCTTTGATAAACAATACATAGATTTCTGCGACATTAACTTCTTGAATATATTCTAGATATTCATTTTAAACAAAAAAGTTCATATACATTATATGTCAAATAGGCTCAGTTATCGAGATATGTACAAACTTTTATTAATATTGTAACAAACAAAATTATTAGACATTTATAATTTTTATGTGAGTCTTATTTTTTTTAATTACATTAATTGTTCAAAATGTCTGCTTATAAATATGTCTCTCTCTCTCTCTCTCTCTCTCTCTCTCTCTAAGAGCGATTTTACCGAGGGGGTAATCACTGAAATATTGTCCCACAGCTTACATGATTTCATTTGATTTCATATGATTTTATCTGATTATAAATAATTTTTTTCACTACATTTGAAGTCATTCGGTAAAATATATTTATTTATTATTATATTAAATTTTATTTAATATTATACAATCAGATTATACATAGATTTTATATGAATTTTATAATGATCGAGGCCTCTGTCCTACAATTACATTAAGTGGTTACTCCCTCGCTCGGATTTTACGCTATCATTTGTCCAGCAATCAGATTAAACATGACTCAATTTTGTGTTGAGTTTAAACTCAATGTCTTATCTCTATAGTCAAGAGCGAAGAGAGAGGAATTGAAAAGGAGAGAAACACATATATTACGAATGAATGGAAAGTTCAGACGGGCATCGACATTATGCTAAAGAAATCCCTCTGGTCGCACAGATCTGTTACATTAAGTTCCTTTGCAGATCCATCCATCTCCGCAGGATTCAGCATCCTAATCTTCGTAATTCGTAGCCGCGCGTCTCCCTCCGGGTAACTGGCCGTCACGCTGTCCGGTGAGGAAGGAACGAAGTGGAAAAAAGAGCAAAAGGCCGAAGGAGGACGAACCCGGGCCTCCAAGTTGAGACATTTTAACCTGCCCGTGGCTTCGCGCGAGGAAAGAGAGATGCTTATTGACTCGTCTTTCCCAGGGGGGTATCCCATGCAACATGGCCGGTAGAAAGAAGATAGAAAAAGAGAAGAAAGACTTTGTATATAAGACATATAGCCCATGAGATCGCATTCGTGTGCGCAACTCATGGCAATTGATGCACTCTGAATCAATTCTTTCTATCCTTATTTCTTTGATTCCGATTCTCCGTTTCCGTTCTTCTACTCCTACATATTCGCCCTAGCCTTGTCTGTATTTCACATTGTCATTATCTCGCATGGTAGATGTTATTTGTAGTTATAACTACCGATTTATATGCACGTCGCATTTCGCGTCGAACAGCCTAGAACATTCCTCACTGTTCCCCCGACACGAGGACGACAGCAAAATAGAAAACCGGACATACGAACACGCAGAGAGAACGAAAGAGAGAGAAAGAGAGAGAGAGAGAGAGGGGGGGGGGAAGCAGTAACGGGTTTCCGGGGAATCTGATGAGCAAAGAAGAAAAAGGGAAGAATAGAGATTCTTAGATTCTTCATCGAGTTTGTGGCAATTTTTTTTGTACTTAAACTGCAGAGTCGCGAAACAACAACGATCGTGTCGAGTTCGCATACTGAGATTTTCGAGAATTCGTTACGCGCCTCACATTCCTTGTCGTGACTTCACACTTCAGGAACGTGCTAGAGAAGAAAAAGTATTCTTACTGCTTTAATCTTCCAAAGAATTAGTGGAAAATTTCTTAGGACTACTTGGCACGAGGAATTCGAGACAAAGAAATATCTTGTGTTTTGGAGTTTGATTAAGGGACAAGACGTTTAAGAGATCTTCTTTATGCGTACTAACATTCATCATTTTTATCAACGTAGATAAATTTTAATTCCAGTTTAATTTATTTCTTATTTTAAGAATTAGAAAAAGATAAATGGCAATGAAAATAAATAAATTAAAATGAAATTAAAATTATTTCATATTGATAGAAATGGATATTGATATAATGGATATTGATAAATCAAACTGAAAAACTCTACATAAATAATCATAAAATTCAAGTTCAAGTAATTCTGAAACACTTAATAATCTTGAATTTCTGATACACACATAAATAAAAATTTTTTAAAATTAATTTTTAGATATAAAGCTCTATAATATTTCAATTATTATTTTATCTATTTCGAATAGTTATCAATGATTAAAAAGAATATAGATCCAAAAATAAAAGAAATCTAAATTTAAGACAAATAAATTTTAAAAATTGATAAAAACAGATCTTTATGTATAGCCATTCAACCGTAGAATTACTCGGAATTTTTAAAAATTGTTCGACCTCGAATTTAGAAAATTTTTTATCTTTATTCAAATGTTTCTCTAAAAATCTAATAATCTTGAAATATACAAGATTTTTCGTCAAAACTCATCGAGAATTGTCCAGAACTTCAATCAGAACTATTCAGAACTTCCAAAAAATTTTCATCATTCATATGTCGAGTATTTTTTGCAGACCATTAGTTTTGAAAATTTTGTTAGAGTTAATAGTTTTTGATAGGCATTCTGGATAGTTCTCAATGAGTTCTAATAAAGTCTTATGGCTCAAGATAATTGAATGGTTTATAAAACACCCGATATTTGAACGATGATTGAAAATTCTAAGTCTGAAGTCAAAAATTTTTCGAGTATTCCGAGTAATTTTGATTGAAATTCTGGATAGTTTTCAAAGAATTCTAATAAAAAAGTCTTAATGGCTCAATGCGATTGGATGGCTATATAAGATACCTATTTTTATTGCCTATTTCTGAAATTTTGTTTTAAGTCCAGATCTTTTTTATTTTTAAGTCTATATTTTTTTAATCGTTAAGCACTCTTCGAAATAAATAAAATAATAATTAAACTATCAAGGAACTATTATATCTAATTAATTTTTCAAAAAAGATTTTATGATCGGATTTTTTTTTATCAAGAACTCTGTTATATTCACAAAATAAAGCTATTAAGCTATTCAGGATTATCTGAATCTCGATAAGGAGTTTAGTATCTCATTTTTTAATTTAAATTAAAGATTGTTATTAACCGGAATTTTTAATAAAGAACTCTTTGGACGACATTCATAGTCAGATTTTATATTTAGGATTATATTAAGTATATTCTCAAGATGTCATGAACTAATCAGAGAGCTGCATTAACATCTTAATTAAGACAGTCTTAAAATAAGAATCAATTATGAATACTGGCCTTTGTCTCTTCAAAATGAACTCTAGTCACGAACTCTAATCAGAACTATAAAGTTTAACGTGAATTGATTAACTTCACATACACTTGCATTTGACATCTTGATGTGAATAGCAAACGATAACGAGTAAACGCGAAGAAAATATTATTTGAGCCAAATGTGTCTCTCAAAAAGTTTTCAATTAATCGATTTTTTGATTAATTATTATCGATTTAATGCCAATTATCTTGATAAAAACTCTTTTTTCTTCTTTTTCATTTTGTTAATAAAGATACGTTAAATGTATGTGTACGTGTAAAGTTCAAAGTACGCAGATATAATTTAAACTTCAAAAGTTAGGAATAAAGATAACATAAAAATTTATTTAGAATTAAGTAATCATTCCCTGCGCTCGCAGGGATATTTC